ACTTCCAGAGTCATCAAGCAGTCCTAAAGAGTAAGAATACCTTTAATAAACCTAGACGAAAATATGGCCATCCATAAGCATAGAAGATTTCAGCAAGAATTAATTTGTTGATCTTGCCAGCAACTTAATAATTTTTCATGACATGTAGAAGGATCCATATTAGCTGGCAGCAAAAGCAAATCATCAAAGTAAAGCTGCATTAGCAAACCAGAATCCATTATGGAAGTGATTGATTTGAACACCATATGATCCCAAAAGCCCTGCATGCTTCTCTTTAACAACCGAGCAAACATAAAAAATAATAGTATCAGTTTATTTAATTTAGAAAATAAAAAAAGGGAAAACAAGACACATTTTGTACTGAAATACAAAAAATAAAAACAATACGATTTGTCACAGAAGTTTCTGGGATAGCTATGATATGGACAGCTGCTAAATGTGATGCAAAAGTCAAGAAGGCCTTGTCGAAGCAGGCGTGTCAAATAGATTCACGTTATTCAAACTAGGTAATTTTAAGACGAGCATTTCAGTGTAAGGCGGAGATACATCAGTTACTGGGATCTCCGTACAAGTGCACATGCAATCATCACGCCAAGCAGAGAATTATTATTTTCAGAGTATAGACTAAGTATGCATTTCATCAAAAGTAATGTGACTTTTTTTAAAAACTGAAAACTAAAACCATAAAATTGGATTCCATGAAAACGTCAGAGTTCAGGATTAAATTAGCTTCTGTGAAACTCAAGAAAATCTTAAATCACCAAATGGAAATAGTACGTTAAGAGTACATAATAATCCCCAAGTGTCTGTTTATATTCAGATGCATTCTTGGTGCTTCCTAGCAAGTTTTGAACAGTTTACTTCCAACAGATGGCTAATGGTAGAGAGCTCAACATGAATATCAAACTAGTGTAAAATAATTTTCCATTTACCATATCGACTAAGTTTCCTAAAAAAAATTGCTATGGGATTACCCCAAATTGATTTGCTAGGAAGAATTGACATTGAAAGTAAAAGAATGTGGAGGATCCAAACTCTTTTGGTGTAAGAACAAATAAGAAATAACACTAATAAGAGCACAGTTTTTAAAAATTATTTCTATAAAAATACAAATCAATAAACATTAAAGGCTGGGAAGCATGCATGAAAAAGTTGAGAAAACCTATGAACAAGCCATATCTCTCCTCAAAGTACTTTCGTCCTCAACCTCATGCGCTTTACCTCGGTTGTCACTTCGTCCGGAAAGAAATCACCTTTTAGCAGAAAAGAGTAATTCAAGCAAACGAAAAATTAATATGGATAAAAAGTAAAAGGAACCCCACCCCCATTTCCCTGAAATAAAGTAGAGTAACATAGTTAGTATACATTGTGTATATATCATATATGAAAGTAAAGTAACCTGAACCAAGAAGGTTTTTTTCTTTCTTTGGGGGTAGTGAAAAGTGTTTTTCATATATTAAAATAGTTTTCAAGTATGCGGTTGTTAAATTTTAATTTAATTAAATATAAACAACTAAACAAGATTTATGGAAGGAATAGAGACATATCCTTGAAGAAACAGCCATATGCATGCTGATTATAGGCAAAAATATCATATGAATCCTGATATCTCCCTACCATAGCCTGAAATGTGATGGGTATCTATGAATAGGTTAAAAAAAACTTCAAAACAGTGTAAGTAGACAATGCCACTTACACCTGCATCTTTGCCATTCTCATTTAGAAAGAATCCAAACTCTGCGCTATACATCCCGCACACAAAAATACAGTAAAACTATGTTTTTAATAAAAGAGCAGTCCATAAATAGTAAGTTGTCACTTTTTTTGGGTATTGGAAGGAGAAGAGATAGAGTAGATACTTCAATCTCTTTCATTGCTTCATATTTTTCATTTGTTGTGGATGAAACATGGTGAAGACTCTTCTTTAGATTTCGCCAATGTGACTCATCCAAAGTATCATGTAGTATGAGAAAACTATAAACCACATAAAAAATTAATTGCAGACAAATTTGAAGAAAATTTCTGCTATAATATATGCACACTTTGCACAGAAGATGTAAATGCTGATCCACTTGTCCCCCGCCTGTGAGCTCTCATATAACATTTACAAGAAAATACAATCTTATGGGAAAAAAAAAGTAAATTGCACTAATGTGAGAAGGAATATCTAATTGGATATACCTTGGAAGAACTGCAAGTGATCTAGCACTCCAAATCATTAACTATTTTAAGTCCTTCAGTCACCCGACATGTCGAAGATAGATCATCACTACCCGCACATTTGCGTATATTCCTGCAAACATCATTATTATGTAGCATAATAACTTCACGAAGTAAATGCTGAAAACCATGTCTATAGTCCTTAGTGTATATACCTTTTCAAGAAAATCTCGGGCTTCCCCTTTTCCTTGGGAACTACCAAGAGAAAGTCATTGTGGAAATATGGTACAAAATTAGGGTTGGCTGCTGTGATTAGCATTGGGTTGTGGTGGTTGACAATAGGATTAGCACTTGGCAGCACAGATTGCCCATACACATTAATCCCCCGATGTGTAGGCCAAGAAGCTGGAAAAACATCAGCCAGTAAATTATTTTCCTCGTTTGGAGTTGAAAATTCTAAAGGCAGAAACTGGGAGTTTGTTGATGGAGGTTGAACACTAGACCCACTAAGTGCAGAGTAAGAATTGGCAGAGAATGAGTCCCCAAAGATGAAGTTTGGGTTTGTCTCTGAATTCGCAAAAGTAGGCATGCAAGTTTAATTTGTTGCACAGCTGGAAATAGATCAGTTGAAGGGGCAACTTTAAAAGGATCATCACCAAATGGATCATCAAAACCCTGAATCAATAACAATATAACATAAATACAGATGGCAACAGATTAACTAAATCATCAGGCAGCAACACTGAAGCAAAGGGATTAGTTCCTCATCTAAGGGACGAATAAACTGATAACCAAATGGGTATTGCCAGTACCTCTTATGAAGGTAAACTTCCATTACTTGAATTTAACTCAAGTCCACCCTGAACTGCAGCATTACCAGGTCTGGAAGGAGTAGCAATACCTTGCAACAAAATATATTTCAACATTCCAGTTAACATTCTAGGAAAATTTAAAATTCAATTGCACAACTAAGCTTGACATAAAAAATGAATACTTTAGAGGCATAGGAAAACCTGAAGTATTCTCTAGGCAATAACAGATACATTTGAATTAACCAACCGCTAACTGGAACTAGCTTGTTTACTGACCCCTGCTACTTCACTGCCGTTAGAGGGACTAACCTGCATTCTATCTTGTTGAGGAGCATCAGAGGAGGAAACATTTTTATGACCAGCATGTCTATATCAGCAGAACTTTCTTGCTGAGGTCGTTATCCCCATTCCGCTACTAAGACCTACAAGAACTGGATTGCTCTGGTGGAATACTTCATCTTCATGTCTATAAGAATATTAAAAGGAAATACATTTTATACATTGTTGAACTAGATCATACCTGTTGAGCTTCCATAGCATTGTCTTCACTTTGTTTCACCTCAAAATATGCCTTTCTAAACTTTTCTTCAAAGTGAAGAATATATTAATATAATTTAAATTATATTTTCTATAATATTTTAAATTTATAATTTAAATATTAATATTATTATATTTATAATATTAATAAATTAAGAATAAATAACTTTAATTTAATTAAAGAATAAATTAATTTAATTTAAAAATAAATTAATTTAATTTAAGAATAAATTAATATATAGGGAGAACTAATTTTAAAAAGATTACTATATGTTTATACCAATGCCAAAATACATCATGATAAATCATGTGAGTTATTGCACACCAATAATATTTCCAAAAACAGTTTAGAAATTTAACATTAGAGAGGAAATAGTGCCTACAGAATTTTTCGCTAAAAATGTGTCCGGACGTTAACAGCCGTTAAAAGTCTAAGTTAAGTGACACATGTCACATTCTGATAATTTTGAGAATTTTTATTTAAAATAAAAAATATATTTAAAAAAACAAATCTTAAAAAAAACTCAAAACTTTAAAAACCATAATTTTAATCCTTTGCCACCGCCGGCCACCGCCAACACCGTCAATCGACCAAACACCCAACGACGTATGACTGGCCAACCACCCACGATGATTAACGACGTTGGTAGCGGTCGGCGGTGGCAACGGGATTAAAATTAAAGTTTTGAAAATTTTGGGTTTGTTTTTCAGATTTGAAAAAAATTAAGGGTTTTTAAAATATATTTTTAATTTTAAATAAAATAAAAATTCACAAAATTACCAAAACGTGACACGTGTCACTTAACGAATATTTTTAATGGCGGTTAAAGTCTGGGCACCTGAAATGGTAACAGAGAAAACGTTAAATACCTATTTTTAACGGAAACTTTTTTTGTCACTAAAACGTTTTTCGAGGTATAGTTTAGACACAACAAAGAAGAAAATAAACATTCAAAAATACTAAATCGGGAAAGAAAGACTCTACATACATATAGACAATCCAAAGCAGGTTCAAGGATTTTATGTTCTAATTTAAAAATCAAAACTGAAATAAGTCACCAAAATAGTCTTTTATGTTTTAATTTAAAATTGTCACTGGTAATAACTAACGACAAAAGGTTTAGCTCACCAAAAGTAATATCTCTATTAAAATGACTAACCATTTGACAAGAAAAATGTAATTCACATATAAAAAATTTACTAAAACCTACAACATGAAAAATAAAAAAAATAATAAAATTGAATGCGAAGCAACAGAGCAAGTCAAATTCTATGACCATCCAAATAAAAGAATTGGAACATAAAAATCATTGAATTCATATACAATTTCATACCTGAAACTGAACCGTGGGGATCAAAAATTCATCACAGACCTCCGCATAATAATTTGAAGAAGTTGAATTTCTAAGATCAAGGGCTGCTTGATTAGGATTAGGATTATTATTACTAGCAGGAAGAGTAGCCCCGAGAGTAGCTGCTATAGAAGTTTGGCCAACCCTATCATAAAAGATTTTTTCAGTATGCACCATCATAAAAAACACAATTGCAAGTAACATATCTCTTAAAATAAATACCTTTCACTATGGGTAAGAATCTGAATCACTCTTACTGCTTCTATTTAACTAGGAGCACCAACATTTTGGTCAGAATGCTTCAGCTCATGCTACACATCAGGAAGCTAAATATTAGCCAAAAGAATAACTTAATTAAGAGGGAAAAATAATATGGATGAATGGATAATGAACATATGTGTCATGTAATACACCAGAAAGAAATATATCATTATCTCCATGTACAGTAGACCACCACCAACTTACATATTAAACTTATAATTCTTAGAGCGACCTCAAAATATATTTCTTCATTTGGCTGGTCATATATATGAATGACACTACATTGAACCATGATTTCAATTAGAAAGGAAAAAAGTTTCCATTTGCTTGCCACTATTAACTCTCTTACTCGGTCCCTAATGCATGTGTTTGTATGTATTTAATGCATGAACAGACAGACAAACACAAAAATCCAAAAATAACATCCGAGGAAATTTCTTCTTTTTTGAAAAATAATAAAATCGGAATATAAGAAATTGGATTTAACTCATGAAAGAAATTGCTTTATGGTTCAATATTGTCCTTTAAGTATTGAGCAAATAGATTCAGACATACCATATCTACTTATGCTAGCGAAGTATATACCAGGAGTAATCTCTGATATCGTTGTAGCCTTCGTAGTCTAATTGAATTACCATTTGAACCCATTGTTCGGTTATGGCACTGGCTGTTCTGATTTTAGGCTACTTGTCGTCTAACTTGGAGCAATCTGTATCCAAAACAAAAGAGACCCATCAGATACCGATTCCAGTCATTTAACTTATCATATACTTCTATTTACAAGAAAACATCTTATGGGAAAAAAGAAGAAAATTCCACTAATGTGCGACGAAATATCTAATTGAGTATACCTTGGAAGAATTGCAAGCGATTTTGCACTCCAAACCATTAACTACTTTAAGTCCTTCAATCGCCCGACATGTTGAAGATAGATCGTCACCACCCGCATATTTGCGTATATTCTTGAAAACATCATAATTATGTATCATGGTAACTTCACGAAGTAAATGCTGATAACTATGTCTATAGTCCTTAGTGTATATACCTTTTCAAGAAATTAGGGTTGGCTGCAGTAATTAGCATCGGGTTGTGGTGGTTGACTACATGGATTAGCACTTGGCAGCACAGATTGCCCATACACATTAATCCCCGGATGTGCAGGCCAAGAAGCTGGGAAAACATAAGTCAGTAAATTATTTTCCTCATTTGGAGTTGAAAATTCTAAAGGCAGAAACTGGGAGTTTGTTGATGGAGGTTGAACACTAGACCCACTAAGTGCAGAGTAAGAATTGGAAGAGAATGAGTCCCCAAAGATGAAGTTTGCGTTTGTCTCTGAATTCGCAAAAATAGGCATGTAAGTATAAATTTGTTGCGCAGCTGAAAAAATATCAGTTGAAGGGGCAACTTTAAAAGGATCATCACCAAATGGATCATCAAAAACCCTGAATCAATAACAATATAACATAAATACAGATGGCAACAGATTAACTAAATCATCAACCAACAACACTGAAGCAAAGGGATTAGTTCCTCATCTAAGGGACGAATAAACTGATAACCAAATGAGTATTGCCCATACCTCTGATGAAGGTAAATTTTCATTACTTGAATTTAACTCAAGTCCACCCTGAATTGCAGCATTACCAGGTCTGGAAGGAGTAGCCATAAGACCTTGCAACAAAATATATCTCAACATTCCAGTCAACATTCTAGGAAAATTTAAAATTCAATTGCACAACTAGCTTGACATAAAAAATGAATAGTTTTAGAGGCATAGGAAAACCTGAAGTATTCTCTAGGCAATAACAGATACATTTGAAGCAACCAACCACTTACTGGAACTAGCTTGTTTTCTGACCCCTGCTACTTTACTGCCGTTAGAGGGACTAACCTGCACTCTATCTTGTTGAGGAGCATCAGAGGAGGAAACATTTTTATGACCAGCACTGTCTATATAAGCAGAACTTTCTTGCTTGAGGTCGTACAAGAACTGGGTTGCTCTGGTGGAATACTTTCATCTTCATGTCTATAAGATAAGATTAAAAGGAAATACTATTTTACACATTGTTGAACTAGATCATACCTGTTGAGCTTCCATAGCATTGTCTTCACTTTGTTTCACCTCAAAATGTGCCTTACTAAACTTTTCTTCAAAGTGAAGAATATATTAATATAATTTAAATTAATATATTTCTATAATATTTTATAATTTATAATTTAAATATTAATATTATTATATTTGATATATTAATATAAATTAAGAATAAATAACTTTAATTTAATTTAAGAATAAATTAATTTAATTTAAGAATAAATTAATATATTAGGGGAACTAATTAATAAAAACACAATTGCAAGTAACATATCTCTTAAAATAAATACCTTTCACTATGGGTAAGAATCTGAATCACTCTTACTGCTTCTATTTAACTAGGAGCACCAACATTTTGGTCAGAATGCTACGCATCAGGAAGCTAAATATTAGCCAAAAGAATAACTTAATTAAGAGGGAAAAATAACTAAATATTAGCCATAAATAAATATATATATCTCTAATGTACAGTAGACCACCACCTACACAGATTAAACTTATAATTCTTAGAGCGACCTCAAAATATATTTCTTTATTTGGCTGGTCATATATGAATGACACTACATTGAACCACGATTTCATTTAGAAAGGAAAAGGTTTCCATTTGCTTGCCACTATCAACTCTCTCACTCGGTCCCTAATGCATGTTTTGTATGTAATTAATGCATGAACAGACAGAAAAATCCAAAGATAACATCCGAGGAAATTCCTTCTTTTTTGAAAATAATATTTAAATCGGAATATAAGAAATTGGATTTAACTCATGCGAGAAATTGCTTTATGGTTCATTATTGTCCTTTAATTCTTGAGCAAATAGATTCAGACATACCATATCTACTTATGCTAGCTAAGTATAGACCAGGAGTAATCTCTGATATCGTTGTTGCCTTCGTAGTCTAATTGAATTACCATTTGAACCCACTGTTCGATTATGGCACTGGCTGTTCTGATTTTAGGCTACTTGTCATCTAACTCGGAGCAATCTGTATCCAAAACAAAAGAGACCCGTCAGGTATCGATTCCAGTCATTTAACTTATCATATACTTCTATTTACAAGAAAAACAAGAACAAGGGAGTTTGTTCCGTACGATTACATGGAACTCCAACCAGCAATTTCATTTTGAATTGAGCATATAAAATTCAAAACAAACAACAAAGGTTTAGCTCCCCAAAAAGTATATTCCCATTTAAATGACTAACCATTCAGGTTGGAACATGTTACAACAGAGAAATGAACAGCATCTACAAAAACAATGTAATCTTCAACCTTGCCCGAATACCTTTCCACAAGAAGCTTTGTTTTCTTTATTCGGAGCATTTTTAAGGTCAGGCATGATGGCTTTAAGTTTTTTCTTTGCTTTGGTCCACATTGACCTTCAATTCAGCGCATTGTTCTGTAGTAATGACAGCATGACAAGCCACACAAAGAGTCCTCATATTCTAGCCTGCATTCACATGGAATTTTGGATACATAATGAAAACCAACATTAAGCTCAATTTAACAGAATAGCAGTAAAACAAGTAGTTAAGAACAAAGAAAAGGTATGTTCTTGAACAATAATATACCTCCCCCTCTACAAACAGGGACAATGTGGTCCGCATGCCATGCATTGCCCTCATAAGGATCACTAACAAACCCTGCAGAAGGTAAATTAGGAAATTGGTTCATAGAAATTACTGTGATCTGGAATGTAATAGTGAACGACTCAATTTATGTGGACATTTGGCAGCAAAGTTGTTCAATACTTGATATGTCTAGGAGATCTCTTTACATGAAAACTCAAACTGTCACTGCATAATTTTCTACAACAAAGTATTCTGCAGTAAATAGGAAACTAGGAATCGGTAACTTATCCTGATTGATATACAAGCTCTTCTGACTTGCTATCTTCGGTGCAACTTTGTTTATATACTCCCGTCGTTTCTATAAGGATAAAGGTTTTAAGTTCTTGGCATTTCTGTAAGAAAGCCAGCGACATATGTTACAAATGGTACAGGAAAAGAGTAATTAGTTCTTACTCTCATGGTTTTGGGAGAGTTTGCAGAGTGGTTCATCAGTCAGGGTCCAACCCTGAGCTCACTGTTCTCTCTTTTTACTTTAACTATGCCGTAGATGGACCTTTTTCCAGACAACATTGGGAGATAAAGAAACATCTATCTCATAAAACGGTGTTGTACGCCGCTTGCTCCCACCTTTCTGCAATCCCTGCAATAGAATTACAAAGCAACACCTTAAGTCATTTATAATGAAAGAAAGAAGATATCCCAGCATAATACATGTTCATTCATACATACCCCCACTGTTATGGTTAATGCTTTCCTTCAAGTAGCATAACCAAGCAGACAAAGGGAGTTGCAACTTGCAAAGGCTTTCCACGTAATTTTCTTTGTTGGGTCTTGGTTTATTCCATTCATCAATGAAGGCTACAGAGCATGCATGCCTCCGCCGGAGATAAAGCAGATAGCTCATCAGCCGCTCCCAATTAAGCCTTCAAATCTCCGACGCCCATTACCTCCCCCGTAGATGCCTCCGCCACTATTGCTTCCATCAACGCCACCAAAAACTCCCCCGCCGAACCCCCTCAATTCCCTATCTCCTGATTCAACTCGCCTTCTTTCAAATCCTTGATTTCGTTTAGGGTAGAACGTAGTAGAAGAAGATCAAGAAGAGCACCGAGACTTACAAGATTTACATCTTCATTGGCCACCTTGAACGTGAAGGATCTCACGCATTTGTTTAGGGAAAGAAAAAGGAGAAACTGGAATGAAGAGAAAAGAGAACAAGAAGATTTGGAGGAAAATTGAAAGATGAATGGCGCTGCAACGGATGGTTTTTATTTATATTTCGCAGGTCGGTGAATTTTGTATCAACGGCTGAAAATAATAATAAGTAACGGCTGGAAAATAATAAATATGTAACGGCTGGAAATAATAAATAAGTAACGGCTGGAAATAATAAATATGTAACGGCTAGATATACTAGAATAAAAATAAATTATAATTTCAGAAATAACTCGTTTTACAATTAAATTGTTGTTGTAATTATTCTAATTCACGCGTTTTGTGGGTTAAATAAAGATAAAGTAAATAGGTTTAATTTTAGTTTCCATCCTTGAAAATTAATTTTTTTAATGTATCAAAACTTGATCTATTACCTTACTAAATTTAAAAATTTGTGTAATTATTTATAAATGCAAAATTTGAGTTGTTGATTTTTATTAATTTTTTATTTTAAATTGTTAAGGCGATTTTTACTAGTTATTTCAAATAAATATAAAATATTATTTTTTAAATTATTTAATATTAATATTAATTATACAAATAACAGTTGTTCATAATTAATTACGTAAATAACATCTATTCATGATTAATTCATGAAATGATATGTGACAGAAAATGGGTTATATCTTACAAAAGTTTGGTCAAAATGAAAGAAAGGAGAAAAGGACATAAATAATATTCTTATAATCTAAATTAATTTAATTTGAAATAATTTAAGAATATATTACTAAAATTGAATTTAGTTTAAGAAAAAAAAAACAATATATTATAGAACAAATACTAAAAATTCTCTAGAAATATTTATAACAATGCAAAATACGATAAATCATGTGAATTATCTGGATAATAAAATCTCCCTTAAACAAGTATTTGACTGCTTGATTAATAAATTATCTATTTTTTTATTTTCAATCAAATTGTTATTATTATTACAACAAAATTTCACTTCTTCGTTTCTTGAATTATTTCACCTAAATACCTAAATTCTATATTTGATTAGGAATCTAATTTTTTAAGCTTGTCCATTTTTTATTTTTCAAAAATAAAAATTGATTGATTTGTAAAAAATAAAATAAAATAGATCGGTTTATAAAAAAACCAATACTAAGCATTTTATTGCCCACGCTAGCAAGTATTCAAGTTTTATATATACTCAATTTGCAGTATGCAAAAAACCAAATATCAAATACTTTAAGCATCTAAACATGAGAATATCCGATAAGATTATCAAAATGTAATATTACTTGACATATTACTAAGAATGTTATAATAATTTGTAAGATTATCAAAAGAAGAAATTCGACAAGTGATATTCTCACTGGATGGCAACTCCGCTCTATGTCCGGACCGTTTTAATGTAGGTTTTTTTTTTAAAAAAGTTCTCACATTTTCTTAAAGAGGATATTGATAACTTCTCTAATGACTTTATCATCATCATAAATGAGAATATTGCATTAACTATTCATTTATCACTCTTACTCCTAAGAGACTAAATCCATAACTGTTTCAAGATTATCGTTAGATTAGCTT